TGAAAGGTATTGTTTTCGATGGTTTTTAAAGAGTATTTCTAAGTTTAGAAAAAGTTTTACATACTACAATTTCAATAGAACTCTCTGTTCTAATTTATTTATTCTTCTACGGGATTAACGCAAATAAGCCTTACAATTGTCAATAACTATTTAAACGGATAGATCCATATAAGCTTTTAAAAAACCGTCATTTACTCATCTTTTAAAATTTTATTACTTTACTTTGCAGCGAAAAGCAACAAGACATCGAAACAAATTGAAGTGGATTGAGGTAACTGTTTTATAATTTGTTGAAAGCCGTATGACTGTCATTATTCCATTCCGACCTATCGCGTGCCATTTCATGCCAAACTGTTTTAGGGATTCTGATTCCAGTCCTCTTTCTTGAGTACCTTATCTTCTTGAGGCCCAACCAAACAGTTGCTTCTTTTTTGTCCAGTTCCAGAAATGCGCGAGTGCCATAAATCTTTTCATTTCCTATTCGGCTGTAATCACAAAACTCTGCCATTCAGTTGTTGGAATGCAAACCACACACTCTTCTTTGCTCTCTACTACTGTCACAAGTCTGAAAATGCTTAGCAGTTACATTACTCCTCTCCAGTTCTTCATGATGAGAAGTTTTGATTAAATATTAATGGAGGCTGAATATTCGAACAAAAATTTAAAATTATGTAGGAAAATAAATAAGTTAATAAGACGAGTATGAAAATCAATTTTTAGGATTTTAAAAGATGAGTTGAATTAATGTTTCAGAAATAGATTGATGGAAGAGTTGGCAAAGTAAAGGCGTTGAAACGATAAATATACGAAGTGATATTGCACTCAAACTAAGCAATGAAAGAGTTTGGGTCTGAATAGATATTTCATACGAATGAAACAAGTTCCTGGGAGTTCCTATGTGATTTAAGATTCAATAAATTTGGCTGTGCAAGATATCACAATGATAGAAGTAAGAAAACCCAATTGCTCATTTTTACTTTTCATAATAAGCCAACAAATCTCAATATAACATGGCTTTACTTCGCTATATTACTTTAATGTAATATAAAATATGGAAATATAAAGCGATATGCCTTACTTCGAAGTTAGGAATAGAAATTAGTGCTAGTTAGAAATGAGTTTTATGCTTTTTTCTTTTAATTTCTCTTTAAATAAGTTTGTTGATATTCCTAACTGTTCATATCAAATTTTCATAAATGCGATTTCAATAAGTTGTTATCAGTGCCAAGATCTGATATTACTATTTCGCATATTGTGAAGGTGTCAGTTACAATTATATATTAACTCCTAAACTATTAAAAGCCGAAATTGGACAAAAGTTTAAGGAACTTTTGCCTCGTTTAGGTACTCAATGTACATATTATAATAATATTATAATATTAAGTCAATGAGTCCCAATCCATGCCATATGATATTTTTTCCGCTTCTGGCATCATTTCTCTTCAAAGGATGATGGCCGGTAAATTTGTAAACCATCATGAAATATATAATGATATAACTGGATTTCAATCACGCTGGACATACTGAAAAGACTGTTTCGATAATTTAGTTACCCACCTTCTTGATAATTTAATTACCATAGAGATACACAAAAAAACAGTTGTCTGATTCCGGTTTTTCAGTTTTGCGAAAACTATACCTACTGGTTATGAATTTAAAATCTGTTCAAATTGCTTTATAACTGTACGTTATCGTGTCAAGATGTGCCTTCTCTTCTTTCTTTCACCTGGTCTGCAAAACCAAGTTTTAAACATTCAATTCAATCTTATATTTCCTTCTTAGCGATTTTTGTGTTGCTCAATTCACTTACTTTCACAACCATCTTTTTGTTAAAAGTCTGTTTTAATTTAAAATTAGCAATGTTCTGCTTTGTTGAAGTTCTGTTTTACAAGTCATTACCTTTTCCGATTTTTTTTTCATTTTAATGTTTTTCAAATATTTGATTTCAATTCTTAGGAAAACTGTTTTTATTGGTGCTAAGAGATATTTGAATTTTTCTCACCAAGTTAATAAGCATTTAACTCTTATAATAAAATTTGCACGTCCATTTGCAAATTCGTTAGCAAGAACTATTTTTTGAAACTCTTTTTCATAACATTCTATCCTAGGCAATCCTTACTTTTCTCAGTCCTAGTGAAATCACTCAATTTTGAAAGTTATTTTGTTTACTATTGTCTCAGCTTCATTCATTATTGCAAATTATTCATTGATGATGTGTAACTGCTTTATCACCAAAGATTCGAGCTAATTTTATTCAAATGGTTTTTAAACTGTTCAAATGTGTCTTTTCTATCAATTATTTATTTCTTCCTCTGAAACACCTCACGGAAGACCGAAAGAAGTCACAGTGCAAAGTTTATACGTATCGTAGTTGTATATATATATTTTTTCTTTTCTTATTGTATATTTTTAAAAAATTGTTTGGAACTATTGCCTATAATACATTATCCTTGTTGCCTATTTATTTAAAGCAATTTTAATGGTGTTTTAAGCCGTATTATGTAATAAAATGACAGCATACGATTTATCAGTTAAAATTGCAAAGCTGTAAATGTTTCAAATTTTAATGTGCATTGCGTATCTTTCGACTAGTATATGTTTAATATAAACTTATCTGTGGTATAATTGTTATTTATGTTTATTTTGTATCATTTAATAAATAATTTCCCGTTGAATGATCATGCAGTTTTCTGTCGAAAACAGCTAGCATTGTCCGAAATTTCAAAAAGACCACTTTTTCTATGAATTTGTTTTCAGCCAATCTACATGAAACCCAATTCTTCTTTACACTATTAGGTATTTTTACCACGACAATTCAGCGTTAAAAATTCATTTTTTGTAAAGTTATTTAGAGCTTGTTTACTTTTTTAAGTGATCTTTTTTGTCTAATTTGACTTTTTTCAATATTTTCTTTCTTTGAAATACAAATATTTTATGCAATTTTTTAATGAATGAGCAGTCTTCTATCGAACTATATTGTTAAAACTTATATGCAAACTCGATTAAATTGTTGAACTTGTCCTCATGTAAGTGGGTAGAGATTCATAAATTTTTATTCGAAATATATTATTGAAACTAGAATTCTACTTCGCTTTAGGTTGAAAAAAAAATGAGTGAAAAAAGAAAACTATCATATACGTATTTTTCTATAAGCGTTCAGAGTGCAAATTAATTTAATGAACATTGTTTTCGCGATGATATCCATTACATTTTTGTAGATTTTACACTCTCAAGCTGATAATGAATTTTAATTCCGATTACAAGTGCGTAATCTATCATATTTGTTATTCAATTTGAAGCAATAAAAAAATGGAATATCTATCACAAGCATTGAAAAATTAGCAGAGACAAAACATGTCACGCTAAGAAATGATTATATCGACATGATTTAAGCTAAAAAGAGAATCGCATCAAAAGTATAATTAAAAGTAAGATGAAGCTCATCAAACAGAAAATGGATTTTACAACCTAAACTATTTGAGTTAAATACATATGTCATTTTCTACAGGACGGCATTTAAAAAGATCTGCTTCAGTTTATGTAAAGAGTCTTCATAATTCAATCAACATCAACATAGATGAAAAAATTAATATTTCAAGAATTCCAACCCCGATGCCATTTTTTAGTGGCAAAAACCTATAGACGATGAAAAATGGTAATGAAGTTTGGAGCACAACAATTTTAGTAAGACTTTAAATAGCATTTAAGGACCACGAAATTCACGTGTTGTCACGTTCTGTTTTCGAATTCTAAGTATAAAAATGCTTAAAATAACCAGCTTGAACAGGACAAGTACTAACATGTTTTGATGAAAATAATCATCGCAAAGCGATGGTACTGAAAAACCTCAACCAAAATGGAGTAATATGAACAATGGGAATAAGACATTCGTACGGAAGGTATATGATTCTTCATAGTAGTCCGAAAAACTGACTTCCGTTTTTATACAGAAGTTTGGACCTTTATGAGAATTGGAATGTAAAATGTTTTTTAACATATTAAAAATCAGAATCCAATTACTGACCAGCAATTTTCATTCTCAGTTGATAATGTACCTTTCTTTTTCAATTCTTCAATTTTTTTCTGCTGTCATGAGAGCTACCAACTACTGTTTTTTTTTGCTAATGATAAGGAATAACTGTCTTTATTCAAATACATTGTTTTTTTTAAAAAAAAAACAGAGTCTTTTTACTATAAATATCAGAATTTTATCAGCAAATAATTCAGAAATAAAAAAGTAGAGAAGGAAGTAGAAATAGGGAAGGAACAACAATTTTCAATATATATATTTCTGTAGTTTTTGGCGGTCGAAAACTGGTTCTACTAGATCGCCTTTCCAATTACAAAACTTTTTCCTTTTCCTTTGGATGAATTTACTCGCAAGGTGTTAAAAACTTTAACCTAATTGGAGATAACAAATGGCAGGAATATATTCACAACAGCAAGATATTCTTAAATCAATCCAACAAATTTACTGTTACTGTCTTATTTTAAATCTTTACTGTTACTGTCTTATTTTATAATTAAAGCAGAGAACTGTAATTTGTTCCTCGTACTGCAAGCTCTCATTCTATGCCTACTAAGGCAACATAATATGAGAACCGGTGATTAGGAAATAAAAACTTCGCTATCCAAACAAACTGAACTATAAATGCAAGATTTACTAATGAATGCAACTGAAAAGAAATTTCTTTACGGAATGAGCGTACAGTCAGGTGGTATGAATGTAGATTCATTCAATTACTCAGAAGAAACACTTAAGTAGTCAGTGGTTCTGCACTTCCAATCAGATGTTTAATAAGTCACAATTTATAAAACTGCGAAAAATTCAGAATCAGCAATCAGGAATTTATGATACAAAAAGCAATAGACAGTTTAAGCTAATTGTTTTAATTGCAAATTTGGTGCTAAACACATCATTCGCAATCTAATTACATTTTTGGCCATATATAACAATCCAAGCTGCAGGTAACATATTGATTATAAATATAAAAAAATGGTCAAACTATAGAAATGCATCGTTTGCTGTTGTTACCTCCAATTGTCGATAACAGCTGCAAATAGATATTTCAACACATATCTACTTGTGTCACTTTATTTCATTGTAATAAAAAGAAAGTTCTACCACTTACATACTGCATAATTAATTCAAAGTTAAAAAGATAAATTTCATCCGAATTAATTTCATCATTTGTTTTGCTTTTTTCTGGCGCACTGCTGAATCGGTACACAGCAACAAAAATGATTCGTGAAAGTATAATATATCATCAACTTCTTACCTTATTCCTTCTCAACGGAACATATATAGAATCGACAAATGTTTCTGCTTCCAAAATTGTACTAGCTTGCTCCGGTGTTAATGCCAACGACATCAATCGATCCGCTTCACGTCGCGAGCGCTGAAATGACATAACGCATGCCTTGATCATTAACAAATCTCAAGTCGTTAATGAGTTAAAAGACTATTTTTCAACAATATTTTTCGCAAGACATAGTTTCTTTTAACAGTCAATAAACTGGATTTAGACACAAACAAAATGAAGTCAAAGTAAAATAAAGAGGATCTGAAATATGAACGAACTGGAAATGAAAATAAAAAGAATGAATAGAACCACAACTGCACGTCTCTGATCAAGTTCTTTTTTCCATGTGAAATATAAACAGCTTCTTCAACCTTAGTTGATTCAACAGTAAGCATTTAATAATCACTGCATAATGTTGTGTATCAAGTAATGTCGTGGCAAAGGCTGTCTTTTTTTACAAAGGAGATCAAATCCAGTCTTTCAGGATAGAACTCCAAAGCAGAAAATTTACTAAACAATCTTTTACAATAAAAGTCGCAATGATTATCGATTTAATGAATCTGCTTGCATTTTAAATGCATTCCTGAACTTTGGAGTCATTCGACGTTTAAGTTGTTGAAAAAGAAAATTTTTTAAATATCAATAAGTTACAGACTTTAGCTGTTTGTGGGGCATATCCAACCATTTTATCTGGTATGGAATACTCATTTATGATTTCTTCAATGCGCAGTTTTCTTTCCATCTGAAATATGAAAATTCCTTTATAACAAAGTGACTAAGAAATTTTTTAACAATTACAGTGTTAACATTAAATTGCTAAAACTATCGTAAATACCTCTTGCCTGGCTTTCTTTTTGAGATAAGTAGCACGTGATGGAGAAGCAAGTGCCCAAATTGTTTTGAACAACACTAAAATCAGTTCAAACAACGAGATGACACTGGCACCATAGAACAGACCCATATCGCTACCGATTTTACCTAAAACCTTAGATTTTGATACCGATAATTATCTTGGTCATACTGATGCCCAAAAGTGCGGTCTCGAATTTAGAAACATCGATCTTTCTACCTAGCAAATGTGTGAGATGAGAGCTGAGTGGAAAGTTTTGATAAAAGACTTAACACGAAAAAATAATTCGTCCATTTAAAAAATATATACAAAACAAGAAACAGGAAATAAGTTTACTTAAATAGCTTGACAAATCGGAAAGTGTTGACTGCGAATACATCTTATACTTTTTTGAAGCAAAAAACACATGTACAGTTGCCAAATTGTTCCTTAACCAAACTATATATCATCAACTTATTCTGCAAATGCTGCTTACATACAGCAACACCCAACCATTTATAACAGATCGTGGTATGACCTTCAGCACACTGTGCTTTGAGTTTGTTAAAAAGCATCGAAACTCTTAAAAAACTATCCATGGAAAAAAATGACCGGGATAGAATCTAGAAAAATAAATTTGCAAATCACTTGACATAGCTGGGATTATACTGCTGCTTCAAGCTTTCCATATATTCACCCAGCGAGGTAAGAATATTGTGGATAATAGAATTCTGTGTAAAATAAATAAAAACTTCACATTCCATTGCACAATCTTGGCATAAGGGAGAGTAAGTAATATTACGCACAATACCTAAAAAGTAGCAATCCTGAGAAATGAAACTTGTAAATAATTTCTGAATGAAAAAGTTTAGTGGAAAGTCGGAAAGCCACATAAACGAAGGTATTAATCGGGGGGGGGGGGAGAAAGAGAAACAGAAGAGGAAAAGTTTTATCTATTAAGATCAAGAATCTCTTAACATAGCTCTTCAAGTACTTACTCGCAATTTCTGTGAAGTTGCTAATACAGTCGAAGACCTCTTTCGGAGAGCAAAGTCTACCTTCTATAATGCAATTACTTTAAAAGTTCAGCAAGAACAGTATTTGATATTAAAAAAAACACTTATTCTTACTGTTCATATGACCCATCTAATCTGGATTTTGATCGTCTTGTAATTTTTTTACAATTTTGAGCACAAATTTACTAGCTTTATTCAATTCATTTTTCGTTAATGATTCTATAACTTGTATTAAATCTGAATATTTAAAAAAGCTTCACCTTTCATTATATTATACTGGAGAGGGATACAACCACAGTTCGCAATAAAATACCGCGCAATGCAAGTCATTTTACAAGCTGATGAAGAATATGTAGAATTGTGCGGTAGAGCTGAGGGCCAAGCATTACGACAAGTACCTCCTTTAGATCGCTCCAAAAACTGGTACTATAAGGAATTAAAATTACTGTTAGAATATAATGAATCATACTTCGCTAAGTGAATTATAAATTGAATTCAAAAAATTAACCTTAATAGGCTTTAGTCCTGCAGACAACTTATTGTTTGGTGAGACGACAAGAACTTCAGAACTGATATATGAAATAATATCCTTATCGTGGACATACAGCCGAAAACCAGGTTCAAAGTTGTTCGGAAATGGTTGTCTTATTCGGCTATCTGAAACAGCGCTTTGCTACTGGAAATTACTATATTTAACTCTGGGATTTTCCTTATAAATTTCAAGTGAATTCAAAAGACTGCAAAACTGAAATATATCGGAGAAAGGAAATAAAACAGAACTGCCCGCATTAAGTTTACAGTCAAAATAAATATGATACCTGTATAATTCACCAAGTAAATTTCATTGTATGACTGATAATCAAGCATCACTTGGAATCTAAAGAAAGAGATTACAATGTGAATTCACAAGAAGGATTTCACTGTTAAAATTAATTTTATTGTAGAAAAAAGTTAGTCCTTCGTAGAAATCTTTTCACATTATTTTAATGCTCTTTTTATTAAAAACACGAAAATAGCGCGACAAACTGAGAATTCGAATACACGATTTCAACTCAGAATCATAAAGTAACATAGTACTTTGTGGACAATACTTTCATCGGTCTTCTAGTTTTTTGAACCTATTAAAGCTGCCAGTTCCTTACGTATTCTAAGATCGCTCATCGGTTAATCTTATAGAAGAAAGGCCCGACAAATGAACAGCATATAATGCAAATTAAGGCTTACCCATGAACGGACCCGAAGTGGTAGGAAAGGCTGAAATCTTTGCTTAGTTTATTCCAATCAAATTGAAAACAATATCCGAGGTCGGTGAGTACAACGGTTGAGTATCTTTCATTACAGCAGTCAAACATGATACCTTCGAAAGCACACTGCACAAAGGCCTCTTCACATTTGAAACTATAATAATGACTTTCAAACGATGCATACCATAGCTATGTAATAGAATTATCCTTGTTCGATGAATAACAGAATTGTCAATAATATCAGAATACAAAATCCTTGATTAAATCAATCTTTTACTAAATAAATAAAAGAGGAATGATCGAAGCGAAGAACTTCACTTATCTACTACTAAATTTCTAAAACCTGGCTTCCATAACAAATGATTCCATAGTAAAATTCGTATATGTAAACATATAATCTTGCAGCAGTCTTTCTCCGTCAAGAAAACTATCCATGGCATTTATTCCAACGAAGTCTTCTGGGCGTAAAAAGGTGTGCAACAGATACATTAACAGTCCATCGGAAAAAGTTGTCGTTCTCTTCAGCTCTAAAAAGCATTTAAATACAAATTCAAGAGAAAAATGAGTACAAAATTAAGCGTTAATTCAAATACAAAGTATGCATCTATTTTCTTGAAAAGGTAGACCAATTTATCGCTTATGAAAGAAAAAGAAATATGAGATGAATAACAAATAAAAAAGTGTTTCAAAAATTTCCTTACCTTCAATGTAATCACGTCGTACAGGATTACAGCTGCATATCGTTATTGATGGACCATCTGCATAATCGTATACTATTTCAACCTAAAATTTGCAAACAGTTACAAATTACGCAGTGATTTGCGAGAAACCTGACTCGTCCACTGAAGTTTAAATGAAATACCAAAATGCGCTTGAGATTTATAAAATGTTTAAATGAATAATTAAGAAGTTTATATACAATTCTCATTCCTTCGCTTTCTGTTTCTGTTTCTTAACAATATGTAATTGGTACTTTTGCTAACTGTATTCAAGCTTCCTTTCTTGAGTACTTTAGAGAAAGATCATTTGCTGTATATTTCCGGAACAAAATTTTATCATGTCAAGTTTTTACATTTGAAAAAAAACGAATTATGAAAAGCATTTACCTGTGTTCTGACACTTTTCGCCTTGTATTGTTTTGTTAATTCTGCCAAAACGATGACAAAAATTACACCCGTTGAGATAGCCACAAGCAGCCAGAACAGACGACCGTAAGTTTTTCCCGCATAGAGTCTATAACATCCATGCAGTTTTGTCGTTCCTGAAAACGTCGAAATAGCTCGCAGGTAACGAAATAAACTCATATGACAAATGCTTGCAAAATAGTGGTGAAAATTAGCTGTTTTCCTGTGGCGCATTTCGGATCACTTAATTTTGATGCCAAAAGCTTTGATTTCTTCATTTTGGGGAAAAAAAAGGAATTAATTACCCATCATTTGCAAGAACTCCCTCTTAGTCGCATGTCCCACTAAACTCCTTCCAACGTCAACCTCCTTAAGCCAATTAATTAACCGTTCTATTTGAGGCAAAACCATAACTGTTTAACTTCGAGAACAGCGTCCGTTGTATTGATAAAATAAATGTGAAATCTGAATCATTTTAAATATTTCGTTTCATTGCGGAAGTGGAGAATAAAGTATTGCAACAAATAAGAACTAAATATTGGCCAGGTTGATGAGAAACCAATGAATAAAATGATGAAAAAATAGACCTTAACTGAGTTTACCTGAAAATTAGCAAAAAAGTGGGAGGCAATGCAAATAGATGGCAAGTTAGGTGAACAATGTTATTTTACCGGGGCGAAGGAGTGCATATGGACCATTTTCTTAAATCAAAAATACTGTGAGAAAGATTAACAAATGATATGAGTTCAATCAATCTCCTTAAGGAAGCAATTTAAGTGGCCGATTCTACCTGATCATTTAGATGATGCTATTGTCAAATTTAATCACTGATAAAAAGAAAAATCTCAATGAGATAGAAAGAACTATGAAAAGAATCATAAAATGAGTGTTTATTTTGAACTGAAATAAACACTCATTTTAAAGAATGAAATTCACCGCCCAATAAATAACTTATTAGACGCTAAGAAACTTGTCAGTAAGCTCACTGCAATTAAAATTCTAAGTTGTTAGAAATAAAAATCACAAAACACACTGCTTAAGAACGGATACACACATATTTTGGTTTACAAACTTAAAAAGCTGCCACCACTAACGTATTTTAACTGATTTTCCAATTTATTTAAAAAAGCTATTAAGGTATGCTTATCGATAAGTTTAAGCTTATAAGAAATATCACAGGAATGATATTGCACTTCAAAGTGAAAAATTCACTAATCACTGGTTTGCTTCATCTAACAGATGAAGCTGGTAGTTTAATATACAAGGCGTGTAAGATAGAAGGATGGCAGAGGAAGGAGAATAACAAATGTAACGATTCTATCAAAGCGATATGTTTGTAGGTGGCACTAATGTATGCAATACTGTCATCAACAGTGATCAGCGATGAATGTTTACCATACATAGATAAATTCATGCTTTTTGCTCCTCCTACTCTACCCAATATATTGAAAATATTTCATGAACATCAACTGCAAAAAAAAAAACTATTTAACTTCTTTTAGCAAGTACATAAGCAATTGTTGGGAACAGTCTTATCTTCACTGATTGATCGATGAATAAGTAAGTATACAAAAGTCCTGTAAACATTGCAATCTTTTGTGTACGACATATGATTCTATCAAAGCGATATGTTTGTGGGTGACACTAATGTATAGCAAGTTTATGGCAAGTTCATAACGCAACTGTCGTAATAATATTACGACAAGAAAGTAAGTGTAAAAGACTACAATCTTAAGAGAATATCCATTCACTTTATCGTACTCTTTGAAATACACAGGAATGCATACCACAATTTTCAGTCACTTTTCATGTTTATCCTTTTATGGGGAATTGATGGAAGATTTCAGGTTTTCAAGCAGGTAATGATAATGACACTTACACAGTGTCAGATAAGACAATGCATATTGTTTGTTTACAAGTAGCTCTTTATGCTAACTGATACAATATTATTGTTAAATTTAGTCAAGATAAATTTCGGAGGTTGTTCATTCATTATAAATATTGCATTTTTAAACAGTATCCAATAATTTACACGCAGATATCTCTCTCTATAAAAAAAAGTGAGCAAAATTTTTGTATCAGAATTTCACTCTAAAAACAATTAGCACAGGCAAAATACGTATGATAATCATTTGATTTACTAATACATTTCCTCTCAATATCATTTTAATCAATAGTGATAGACACTATCACTTTCTGACTTTTTCGACATTCTCTATCAATTTTTAAATTGTATTTTTTGGATTATGGATCATTTTCTTTTCAATGCGTTCCCTTCCATCATCACAGCTTCGCCTCGAATGCTGCAAATCATGCGTAATTTCAGTTTTTATATTTTCAGAGGACGGAAAAAAGTTTTTATATTTCCAGAAGGAAAAGAGAAAAATAAAAACTACTCGATGTTTAAATTAGGATGTTAGGAAGAATGGGAAGCTGAAATTTTTGATTTGTATGGAATGTAAAGCTTTACAGCAGCGATATTGATTACTGATGTAAGGCGTTGCTCACGATCACGTTCCTTTTGACGTTTGTGGAACATGTATTCACGACGTTGGCTAGAAAATGCAATCCAAGCTAACTTGGATAAAAATATAACTAATTCAATGACTGTTATCACACTTGCTCCAAAGAACAATCCCATATTTCCTCCAATATTACCTAAAAAAATTAAATATCACTTAAAAATTAAATTTCAACATTTTGTTAAAATACTTGCAACAAATAAGTTTTAATGCTTCATGTGTTTAGCATTTAGGGTTTTTCCTCAATGCTAATATAATCATATTACAATTATTTGATATCAAAATTATTACTTAATACATCCACCAATGATGTTGACTGCATTTGTTCATTCAATAAATAAGACATTTCGCGATAAAAGATATTGACTACAGCAAAATTTTCCCTGAAAAAGTTTCAGTACAAATCACTTTTTTTAGTAAATCAATGAAAAAAATTAATGAATTAATGGTTTAAAAACTTGAAGGATTGTTAGAGAAAAATTATAATTACAAAACATCCTTGATATGCTTATGAGTCCACTTATTGTTTGTGCTTGTTAGCCAATCCATAGCACTTTCAGAAAATCCGTATCCATAAGTTATCGATGCCTTATATTCATGAGTTACACAAGATGTTGGACAGATATTATCCGCGCATTCAGGGCCATTAATATTGTTTGTCCGATCAGCAACTGAATTTATCACGATTTAATTTCCAGATTAAGAAGAAATGAAAAATTTCAGACACGACGATTTTACTTTATCCAATGAAAGATGTAGTTATATGAAAATGTTGATTTAAAAGAGCTTGAATTCCGGAAATTGGCGCAATTACCTTCAAGCATGAATGCATGCAGTTCGTTTGGCGTACAGGTATTCAGATGAGCTAAAAATACTAAATGTCAATTGAGGAAGTATTTAAAATTGAGCAAAAATTTAAAATTAGAAAGCAAATGAATAAAAACTGATAATTTCAATGTCTAACCATCGCCAACACTGTATAATAGTGGAGTGCAATTAATTCTTTGTTCATAATATATCTAAATGAATAGTTCTATAAATTAATGCAATGTAACATTATCATTACAAAGTTGATCATATTTTAAGAGAAATTGATATTGACTGATAAAAGCCGGGAAAAAATGTACTTGTTGACAAAGTGATGCACAATTTTTAGCTGTGTATGGTAAACGAAATGCTCGCTGAGGCGATTTCAATGGCCAGGTATGTGTACAATTTCCCCAATTCTCAGGAGTGAGAAAATGAAACTAAAAAAACATTTGTCGAAGCTTTTACATACAATGAAAAGATTGTAAGGCATACGCTGAAATTATTATATACAAAATTTTTATAACAACACTTTCTTTAATTGGTACGAACAATTAAATATTAAAATTTAATTCTTAGGAAAAGCATACAGTTTCTAAATTCAAAGCAATGTATGCACGATAGGCAGGTGAGACTGAAAGGCCTTCTGTATATGAATATGCTAACTCATTTTCACTTCGAACGTATAATCGAAAGCCATCTTCCAGATTGTTAGAGAAAATTGGTAGGTTATTTCCTAAAAAAGATTTCTTATTTATATCGTAAGCTTATAATGAAGTAAAAGGTAACTAAATTTAAACAAATTTCAGCTCACTTTATGGATCGGTACTTTTTTACAAACATGTAGAATTAAAATTCAAAGCAACCTTCTTCAGCATAATTAACAGCGATAGCATCATTTACTCCAGCATCCAATATCAATTGCAATCTAAACATTGTCCAGCCATTAATTCCACACAAAATCATAAATTTGTTCAATAGGCTTCTAAAATACAAAAGTGACAGGCGCTGTTTACTATCCTGTCGTTCCACTAGTCATTCTGATTGACATTATCCAGGAAGTTTTACAATTATGGAGAGAAGGATGAAAATTGTATTGTTATGATTAGTCTATCCTGACTTTCGTTGCTAAATTTTACATCTTCTAAGCCCATCAGTTTTTTTTAAATTCTTGAATTTGAGTTTTACACAGAGTGAATTGAAGATGCGTTCATAAAAAAATGGACATACCCATTGAAAATGCCTGGTTGGGTCTGATTTAATTTCATGTCATCGAGAGAAAATACAAAGCATGAACCGAGATCAGTGAGCACTTTTCGTGACATCGCACAACAGTCTAACTTGGTACCACCCACAGAACAAACTTTGAGCATTTCATGACAAGCAAACCTGAATTTAATTAATAAATTGCGTGACAAAAAACTGATGAGATGAATTACGCATTTTAAATGCGTTATATATGATTCAGCGGATTTGTATTAATTTATGTTATTCGCTCTATAAAACTATTTTTTTAGATGATATTGGGTATCATTGTGAAAGACTGGTTTGATGAAAAAGTTTGTCTTCGGCACTTTCTAATTTATGATCTAATTTTATGTATGCTGGTCAACCAATAAAATAAAATCAGGGAAGTTCCATTTTGACTCATTACATCGAGTTGTCATTGATTTGTTCTTTTTTACCGTATCTTCCGGGTGTCACGTGCTTGATTTTAATCTTTTTCGTGATGGAATTTATGAAAGTTGTAATGAAGCATCAAGGATGAACATTTTTGTCAGGCACTATTCTTTCCAAAAAAACGATGTTTGGAAACTAATGATATGTAACATTTATTACAATAAATAATTTCTTAATGAATATGGTGTGAATTTATGAAATGATCTAATACTTTTCGTTCACATGTTTCATACTTATAGTATTTATGCTGCAAATAAAATAATCTGCCTTTTCAGATAATGAAATGCTCCAAAAATTGCTCGAAAATATTAGTACCCTGCTCGTGAGAAGAAATTCTCAATATTGAATGGATATTCTGTAAAAATCCTTTGAAAATATTCATATGCTTGTCGGCCTCGTTCGACTGTATCGTTGTTCGCATGTAAATATAAGTCTTCCACCTCACTGTAAGCCATTGTCATATAGCGCAATAAGTCATTAGTGAAATAGCCAGCACCGCTGCTGGATTCATTCAAATCTGCATTTAAACAGTTCACATTTCATTTATAATCAATCAGTTGAAATTTGTATTCATAACTTATTGTAAATCTTCAAGTGCATGATGATTTCAAAATTCTTTAGTTATATTTGGATGAAACTACATGTAAGAGATCTGTTTGATGGATATCAATTGACACATAGAAAGTATGGAAATAGTTTTAAATTTAGCAATGTTACTAAATTGCTGTATACAATTTTTAGCAAGAAAAAATTTAGAAAAATTGCACTTTTGAGGTGAATAAATGAATGTGTGAGCAAAAATTTTAATCTGTTACATTAAGTATCAGAAAGAAAACGAGTTTCTTTCCAGTATTTCTCCACGATAATCACATATAGTTTTAGTCAGAAGCAATATATTATAGTGGTGAATAAAATTTTAAGAAAGTTAAGGAGTTTCGGCATTTGAACGAATTGAAAAATAGCTTACATTGAACATAATTTTTGGTGATTGGATTGTAGTTGCATACGGTTACTGCTGGTAAAGGAAGCAGTTCAGCGGGGACAAAGGTGACAGATGTCGCGGTTGGATGTGACACGAAATATGCTACCAATATATTTATTTGAAGTGATAAGAACACTGCAGCAGAAAACATTACCGAACACCAAAATATTTTTCCATATCCCTTTCCTTTGTAGAGTCGTAGCGGACCATGTAAAGTTGTACTGTCTATAACTGTTTCCCACAAGACAAGGATTACGCAACTTTTTATCATAGGTAATAACAATGAAATAGCTCACATGAAAAATGTTTCGTTTCTTGTTCGATGGAATCTACTCCACTAGCATTTGCAATGCGTCGTAATTGTTCCACTGGTAATTCAATAAAATTTCCACCAACTAAACGTGCTTGAAAGCGATATGGTTCATTCTTTGTAGTACTCATGCTGCTTGTATGTTATAAAGATTTGGCTTATTGGGAAGTCGATTATTGGTAGTAGTCTTAAATATTCATTTAAAATTTGCTAAGATTAGAATCGAAAAGAAGAAAAGGAAGAGAATTTTCGCAAAATTACCGCGTAAACAGAAATGACACTAAAATCAGTCTAAAATTAACCGAAATAATTGAACTAAATAGGAACAATCTTCCACAGCTTCAACTTTCAGTTTCATTAATCCAATTAGTATTCATACACAGTTATTCCGATATTTAGAATATATACAAGCCATGTTAATATGAATTATGCCTTCTATTTTACGATTTGATCAGACTTTCAGGACTTAAAGAGACGGTTAATGGAAAGAAATAATGATAAAGTAAAATAAATGCCAGCACGAGCAGTTATTATTTTGATATTCACATTTGTTTATAGAAATATTTAAAGCAAATATTTATTTGTGTTTGGTGGTGTTTAATGTTGTAGCACATAGCGATGCTCAGCCAACGAAAAATACAAAGTTTGTTTGTTCAAATCTACGTTAAGGCTACGTTAATGCTTTTTTCGACTCTTTATATGGATCGATGAAACATCAAGGATTGATTGATCATACAAATAAGAATGTGTCACCTCAACATGCTTCCTTGCTCAATTTAAACAACCTTTCATATGTGTCAATGGTTCTAAAAATCATTTAATGTGCATGACTTCCCTTTATTTACATTAAAATCTCAGCGCCTCACAGATTAAAAAACATTGTGCTCAGCAATGTTATTGTTGATCAATTACTTTGTTTCAACAATATCCGTTGGCGGTGTGCCTTTCAGAAACAATTCATAATAGTGTCATCCAAATGATAGGACATCAATGTTTGTTTTTTGATTGAGATAAGTGAATTTATTTAAAAAAAAAAACCAGAAATACTGAATAATAATCGTATTATAACTGTAACGTATAAAACAAATTTTTGTACAGGCAAAAGGATGTCCTACTGTACTCAACGTATAACTGCATTGCATTACTAAGAAGTTGCTTAAACGTGAAGAACAAAATCATGGATAACTTGAAGAATCGATGAATTTATACCACAAATGACCAACATATTTGGGTCAGTAGGATCAGCTAAGGATCCTTCTTTATCGGTTATGCCTATTATAATCAGTTTTGCATCCGGCATACCCATTCGTTGGCGATACAATTGAATAGCATCTGATGGTTTCATCTTAAATAAAATTTGCGTTATTAATGAGTATTCGTCAGTTGCTGATAGTTCCACAACTCCGATATATTATTATACGTATGTATTAAACAAAGACGGAAGAAATGAGTGAATTATTTCTCTTGTCCTTCAAAAAATCTTAGTTAAAGCAATGTACAAAGATTAAAACAAATTCCTGAGAGTAATATTTATTTTAGTACATTTTGTGTGTGTGTGTGTGTGTGTGTGTGACCAAAGTATTCGCATTTTCGTCCTTTCTACTATATGACGTTTGAATTAAAAAATCATTTGCATTACAATTGACTGTCTCAGTATTAGAGGAATATCTCATTTTTATCAAATTTCGTTTTGCATAATTTAACAAGAAGAAGAAATGGAACTAACAGATTTAATTGAAATATCACTATCCGTTAAAACAATGAAAACATCCACATATATTCCCTGCTCAATTGCCCAAACCATGGGCCGGGCACAATCTGTTTTACCATATTTCACCATCTTGGCAGCTGCGAGATATTGTCCTAAGCCCATATTTCTGTTCCATTCTAAAGGCATCAAGAAATCCGCAAAACCCAATGTGATTACCTGAATATGACTTTCACTGTCTTTTAAAAATTTGATTTTAAGATAAGACTTACAAAAAGAAATTAATGAACTTACAAAAAAAAAAAAACAAAGCGGTTTTTGAGTCATAGAATTCCAACTAACTTACATCGTTTTCATTGCAAATAAATGCCATTGACAACGCGGCTGCTATTTGACTACAAGCTACTGTTGTACCTTGCATAAAACTATCCATGCTATCTGCGATTATAGCTATTAAAATTGATTGAAAATCGGCAATATTCTATAGTTCGATTTATTTGAGTTTAATATTTCGAGAAAATATTTTGAAAAACGAAGTAACGAACCCGAAATATCAACTGCTATAAGATATCGTCTGTTAGTCATTCCAACAGCATTCATGCAGTTGTAAAATGCCTTATCTAACGCAGTTTGTATCATATTAATTGGTTGCCATATCCGATTCCTTTTCATTTCATGACCATGTTCATAATTTGTTTTGGCTATCAGTATTGTAAGTGGATTAATTCCTTCTTCCCACAGCTTTTCAACATCAGCCAATGTTCTGACAACCAAAGATACTGGATCATCACTAAAACGATTCGCATTGTCTCTGACAGCTTTTGTTTTCATTTTTTACTTGCCCTTTAAATATATTCAAATTTCATCATTCGCTGCATGAATTCACGTACTTTGAATCAAAAAAAATATGAAAAACTATTTGGTCAACTTAAAAATTTTTCGCATAGTTGTTACTTGGTAAAATTTGTGTAATTTTTGCAATCGTCGTAAAAAAATGATGATATGTTGCCCAACATGTGGCTGAGATAATTGAAACTGAAATTACAAATGTTTTATATGAAATCAGAGCAATATTGTCAAACTTTATTAAATGTTTATTTCCCTCAAATGATCGTTTAATTTTACTAACAAAATCATGCCCTGAAAATACATCATATTTAGCGTATTAAAGTTTTAGAGGAAATGTTAAATTGAAAACGATTAGAAAGAAATTGTAAAATTCTTACACACTGACACCTTCTTCAAAAAGATCAATGCCACTCATTTTGCCCATATTTTTCAATATTGTACTCAATGACATCCTTCTCAGCAAAGCACCCCAAACTTCCTTAGAAATCAGTAATTCCTGAGGAACATGTTCTTGTTCAAAACCTTAAGACGACAGAAGTTTACATGACAGTCTTTGCAACTTTTGCTTAATACAAGTTTATTAATAATTTCTCTCTACTAATTCTTTTCTTTTTGGCTAATTACTAACCTTACAAATAGTGATAACGGGACATATTTATCATTTTTATTTCAATTCTCATTTTTGAGTATAACGGATGTTTATCCAAGAGAAAATTATAAATTTCAGAACACTTTAGCATATGGTATCATTAAATATAATCAACAGCCGTCATACAGAACATTAAGACGGCGTCCTCAGCATTTATTATAATTATGAAAATGCTTATTAAAATAACAAATGCAGTTTAATTTAAAAAAGAAACATATGTTCCATAAAGAAACCGAAAATCGAGCGTGATAAACTCCAAAAGATCGGTTTAATAGAATAAATACTTGCCATACTGAAGAATGAGCATAACGGCATCGTCTATATTTTCAGGTGTTAAGGACTGAAGCCTATCAAAAGCTTGAATATATGTAGTTGCATCCATGACCGGATTAGCTGTCCCTTCAACACCTGCAGAAGCAGTCCTTTCTTCAGCTCTTTTCAAATTCAGCTCTTCTAAAATTTGTCGCACTCGTTCCGTTTCTTCTGGATCTGAACGGCCTCGCTTGGATTTTCTTTTCGGTGATAATTCTTTTCGCCGTTTTCTCTCTTTTTCTTCCTTTTCACCGCCTAAGAAATTAATGTTAACAGATGTTTTCAGTACTTAGTTAAAGGGGAAAAATGCCTTGCAATATTTCTTACTCCAAACACTAATACAATGATGCATTTTATGGAGTTTTACAACTGTGGAACGAAATTTTTTTACAATTTAAACATTAATTTCAACATTTTTATTGGAAAGCATTCATATTTAATAAAAAAATTGATCACTGAGAATATTTAAAGCAGAACTATGCTACTTTTTTTCGCGATGCAGACATTTTTCGCATTTATGTTTCAATCGGTCTTAAAATTTTTATTTATAAACAAACAGCTCGGCCAATGACCTAAATTGCTTTTATGCAAAATGGCGTCAAGTAATTTAAAGGACACTAGGTACCTCTGTAGCCTCCAGTAACATGTCTAAAAATATCTTCATATTCCTTTTGATATTGCCAATAGCCATGTTCGGGGGGAAGACTTTGTTTTGGATGGATATGGCTTAGGCAAAATAGATCGCGATGCGAATAGCTAACACGATGACGATACTTAGTTACGATGACCGCGAGACGCTTTGGAGTATGATTGTAATACCTTAAAATATATTGTCAATGCATTTCATGCTTCTTACCGATATATTTATATTTTTCAATCAAAAATATAAGTAATAGATCTACAATTTGTTTACAATAAATATCGGAATGATCAAAATATATTGAATGACATAAGTCAAAAAAAGCAAAGCTGATCAGTCTTTAATATGCAGGACGATTGTTTTTGAACGATAGAAGCAAACGCAAAAGGAAAGATGACAGTATATTAAGGCTGAAAAATGCCAGCAGCGCTGAAATATGATCCGTTCAACGATGTTCATAATAGAAAAAATAAGAGAAGTAAAGCAAGAACCATTTGATAACAGTTGCGCGCAATGCACGTCCCCAACCATTAGAATCTTTCTTAAGCCCACTTTCTCTTGATACCACTTTGCAATAGCTGATAAATTTGAACAAATCAGTGGGTGTAATGCATACCTGTAAACATCTTCAATAAGCTTCTTCTATTATATGTTTGAAATTGAGTAACATATTTCTCAAACTCATTTCGAAGTATAGATTACCATTTTATGAAAAAAGACATGCATTCAGGTTATTTACTTAGGAGCTGTACACATCAGAAGATGATGAAAGTTTTTTACCCGTAGTGTGGGCAAAAGATCTGCAGTCAACGGAGGATCGATTGCTGAACAAAGTGAAATTTCGATATCTTGCTAATCTAATGGACAGCAAATATTATCTTTTTGTTTCCTCAAAAAAACCAGTGATTCTGGTTAGAATACAGCAAGCACTTCAGAAAATAATTGTGCGCAGTGATAATGATATACATGATAAGCCGAACACTCAGCATATATGAAAAGTGTCAAAATTATATTGAAATGTACAGTTAGCCAGATTTAATTCAAAAATTTACTCGGTCAAATCAAATTATCAAACAAGCGACAACCTTGTGCACAGCAAAAAGGGCTGACTTCTGAAGGCACGCTTGATAAGTCTTTTCCATAACCGGTCTTATATCTCGACAAATAGCATCTGGCAATAGCTTTTCTTGTTCTTCCGTAGTGTCCCATGGTAATTTCTTCTTGCTTTGAGTATCATGAACCTAATTCGGAAAAGGTTTCGAATATTTTACTAGTTTGATCTTTCGTTTAAAGTCAACATGGAATTGGGTAGAATACGTTTGCAGATACAACAAACCTTGTAACGTGCGCAAAGTGCTAGAGCGATCAGCAGGGGTTCTATATTCGTAGCAAGGTTTGTTATCGACATTTCCAAAATTTTTTGCAAAACCATTAACCCTTTACCTATAACAAGACATAACAAAGTGGTAAGGTATCCTGAAATTTAAAAATTACCAAGCAAATGTAAAATGATGAGATACTGAATATGATGAATACAGGTAAGGATAGGAGAAAATACTGTTTGATAAGATATTGGTGATTTTTAAATACGTTGGCCTCTGGTAATTATTAGTAATAGCTAAATCTTTTTTTGAATTATTTAAAAAAAATTTCACAAAATGACCCACCTGATTGAATAATGCGACATAAACCGGGCTCTAAAGTGCATGTAAACTCATTTTGTCTTGCGAAATAAATACCTTCAGAGTTGCCCAACATCAGAAAACGTCGGACAAACTCTTCATCACTCCTCCATGGCACGGAAAACTGGCCTTCAGGAACATTTGTCAATAGCTAAAATGTGCATCGTACCATTCAAAATTCTAGAAAGTAATGCTTTGGTAAATTCAATTTTGCAGAAAACCTAGAGGTAGTCCATCTAATGAAGGCTTGATTAAAGACTGCTGAGAAAATCATTGTACCTATTCACTTTTCTTAGGAAACTCATGAGCTACTAATTAGGTCTCAGAATACTGTCCATGCATGTTTATCTTACTGCAAATATCATAACAGTAGTAGTTTATTATCGAGATAATAATAAGCTTAAAACAACGTATATTTAGTGGCAAAAAATGGTGAAGTGTGGACAACTGCTTAACATTTTCGCAAAATAGTGCATCTTAAACTCACAATATTCTCATTCGTTTAAACTCCATTAAAAAGTTTGAACCAACATCTAGCCCTTAGGGTCATTAGGACAACGAAGCAATTTAATGTTTATAGTGCTAGATGTATCTGTCTATATTAATTCTAGTTGCTAAACAGCTGTGCAAATAAAGTCGTCTGCACAGGAAGATGAGGAAACAGAGAAACGGTTTAGCTTTTCAGAGTGCTGAAAGTTAGGAATTCACTGCTTTCCTAAATATTTCTGTAACCACAACATCAAATTTCGATTTCACTTAGATAAGTTTGGAGATTTTTAATTATGAGTAAGTGAGACAGCCATTTTGCAGTAATATTTGAAATATATATGCAGTATTCGGTAAAATAACCTCTAAAATCTGCAGTAATTCGTTTATCAGGGCGGTGTACTGCTGTTCAAGAAGGATTCATACAGCAAAATAATAATGGCAAATTAAAGTGTTTGTGTTCAGCTTCCGAAAAGTTCAGCGTCTTAAGTACGCAATGTAAAATTTTTCCGCTGCTGATGTAGAAATACTAATTTGATATCAAATAAATAGTTTATTAAATTGCAATTATACCTGATTTTGTTGTTGCTCTAAACTGCGCACAGCATACGCGATACTCAAACGATACCGGAGATCATCCGGATGACTGGATGAAAGATATTCTGCTATGTTCATCATGGAGTGCTTTTAGACGCAATGGTACTTGAACTTTTAAAATCCTGAACAACCAGAGCAGATTATCATGATTTCGACTAAAATAACTTTTGAATAGTAGCGACAACTAAAGCCCTACTTGAACAAAAGCTGACTAAAAAATTTTGCATCGAAATTTGAATCTCATAAGTTGGAGAGGAAGGTATACGCAAAACTCATATAATGCTCATTGGTTTCTTTATATCAAAAAAAATATATATACACCATTTACCGCCAGATCTACTTTATTGCATTTTATGATCACTGTTAGGTATGAGCATAAAGTTATTGCAAAAGACGCGTAGATAAATATGTTCATCCCTTTTTTTCTTAAACCATGTTCCAACTGTTTGCAAAACATAAAAATTTCAGGTAATTTTATTGTGCAAAAATTAATAATTTCTATTTTAAACATTCTTAGCATTAAGCACCAGGTAAAATTAGCCACCGAAATAAATAGGAGTAATCAAGTCCTCGTAAGCTGGATTTTCCATTCAAGTAACATTATATCATCTATGATTACCCTTGCAAATTTTAAAACAAGTGTTAAATTTTCCATAGACAGTGAAGCATTTAATACATTCCATGAATAGCAGCAAGCTTGAAATTTCTTGCGAATAAAATTTTATCGTCTTATTAAAAAAGATAACATAAATGGTATTTTTAAAAGTAGTGAATGTGCATCATTTGCTGTATCATTTTGTCGCAATGAAACTATAATGGAATAATTCTCAAAAAGCTACTTCCTTGCTTTCGTATGCAAATTTGCTTATAGAATGATAAATTTGATTAACTGTAGATTGAGTCCAAATTCCTGCATTTAATTCCAATTGAACTAAAATATTTCGAGCAATAGCAATTTAAGTAGCAATCACCGATATCTTATAATATGCATGTGTTTCACTTCAAGTCTTTAGCATTAAGCATGGAATGCTTCAGTTAAAGGGTTACTCAATATAGGTTTCACTGATAATAACAAATGAATAAAAGGAGTCGGTAACTTGTGAGCTGAAGTAAGGTAAAAGAAATGACATTTTAGTAGACTTGTGCCTGAAGCCTTTCGTCTGCTAGAAAATTATCAGTAAGATTTTCAATAACGAAGAAAAACTAAAAATATTGTTGGAAATTTGATCATTTTCACAAAAAGCTTTGTTGAGAAAGTAATATAATTTATTAATTTATCATTCTAAATTCAGAAAAGTGCAAACTATAAAAGAAACAATTAATAAAAACTATTACAGTTTTTACCTACGAACATCATTAATTACATGAGCAAACACATCGATTCAAAGTTGTCTAATTCCAGAAACTGAGTTTTTCGATGCAAAAATCACATTTTAGTTTTTCATTTTGAAAATGCCGAAACATAATTTTGATCAATAATGCAAAAATCAGTTGATAAATGCATGAAGGAAATTTTTATATCCGAGAGTTTTAAAAGAATTTGAAGGTATGAATGGTTGGAATGTTTTGGAGCATTTAATGTTTCTCAAAATTGTAATAAAACGTGAAGGAAGTGAATCCAATAAAGTTTAATATGTTTTAATTTTCTAACTGCTATTGTTAACAATTTCTAAAACTTCAAAAATATTTTTTTATTATCAAAGGGAATTTTTTCATTAATCATTGCTCTCATGATCTCGTGACCTCTACTCAGCGTCGCTCTCTGTACAGACTTATTAATCAGTCACTTCTTCCATTAACCAAGCATTTCATGATTTTTTTCATTTCCTCCGATTAATTAGAAATATGTCTTTTCTGATTTCTATACTACTCTAACAAATTTATAGCAATTTTCTTTTCAAATTGTAGAAGAAAATCCAAAATTGGTCTGCTAACTTACCATAAGCGCGTACCATATTATGTATTATACAGTTCATAACAGTTCTGTGATCAGTAGAAGGAAATCGTTTAATGAAGTAACGATGAAGATTTGAAATTGTATGCCGAAAGGGATTCGAAGAATATGCGAATGCACAAATTAATTCATCCTTCACCACTTTGTGCATTTGCACAAAGTGGTGAAGGATGAGTTAAAAGACTTATCTATCCTGAAATTGAACAATATTTAATTGCTTTTTCTTTACTGATATCGTGGGATAGCATCGTCAATAATTTATTTAGCACAGTCAAATAATCAGTTAGAAGACGTACTACAGAAATCTGAACCATACTTTCTCATATTTATTAATATTACCGATATGAATTTGAGAAAGCATCCGAAAGGCGTGAAAAAGTGTCAGATAAAAGTTATCTTATATGACAGCCCATTATATACTTACATTGCATGAATGTGCCAATACAAAAGTTCAAGTTATAAAGATGATATCAGTGAAATGATGCAAGCATATTCAATAAATGCCATATAAAAATTCAGGATTGTAATGAACTCAGAAACAACACAGCAAACAATAATGGAATAACTAACTGTTTCCACAAAAATCGGTACTCGTAAAATGGTATTATGTACTAGAACATTTATCTTTAGGTGGTACATCCAGTTACATGTTCCAGTTTCTTTTGAATTTCATCATTTTGAAACGGTATCAATATTCCTGGGAAGTTAACAATAAATGGTAAATGAAATTCAACGATATAAATTAAGGGATTGATGATGATGAATTGATGAAATAAAGGGTTTTCCATAGCCAGGCTGTTGCGGATTCAGAGGAATGTAACAGAGAGAGAGTTAAAGATTGTTCTCGCCAACTTTATTTTTGGAATCAAAATGTTATTTTGTAGGTATTGCAGACTTGACCCTTTTCTTTGTTTTAAGTTTTAGAACTGTAAACAAAAAAGAGACCCAAGCATGCAATAATTATGCAAAATTGATAAAGATTGAATTGTTAGAGAGAATAATTATCCACATCAGAAAAGATAATTGAAGAATAAAATCATCACAGTTATTTCTATTTCAAGGCAATTATTTTCCATATTTTTTTAAATAATCAAAAAGATTTTTGCATTAAAAGTGTAATCATCAAAAAAATATTATGAGCACGTTTCACACTACGAAATTGATATTAAAGAATAGCGTTTCATACGAGAAACACTTAATGAATGTCCTCATCATCTGTTTATTGCAAGTTGATGAATGAGTACAATGATGACCTTTGGCATATAATACAATAGCATTAATGATTGATAGCGATTCAAGTAGCGTACTCTAGCATCACAATAATAGCAGATGCTGCAAAGGACATTGAACAAAAGCATGACGTTCCGTACGTACTAATACTCGTCCATCCATGATCGAATCAGGTTGTGCAAATACCACCTAAAAATGTTAACGCATAGATAAATAAAATTTCATCAAAAAATTAAAAAAGACTTTCAAATTCACTTAAGTCGTCAATGAAGTTTTGAGCCTACCTGGTCACGATAAAGTCTCATTTTGGCTTCAGGTATATGAACGTTTTGTTTGAGCAACATTGGCTGTTCATCAGGTTGCACTAATGCAACACAAGTACTTGGGAATGACATCAGCCGATCTGTTCGATCACCAGCCTATAAATCACATCACGGTTGTTGTAAAAAAAATTCTTTAAAATGGTTAGAAAACTTAAACTTTGAAAAAATTAATGCTTAAATTCTGGAAAAAGCTCATAAATACTCCTTGAAATAAAATAAAAACCTTAAAACCATAGAGCCAGTCAGGATCTCCGTTATCAACAACTCTCAATCGATCGCCTAAGCATAAGGCTGTATCAGATCCAGCTGCGTATTCATGAATGACCACATGAGATCCTTGCAAAACTGCAAATGGTGAACACTGAGTTCTAACTTATAAAATTTGAAAAAAAATGAAGATTAAAATAGAATTTCACAAATATTATTGAAAAATATACCATCTGAAGAACTAATGCGACGTGGAGTTAAACGAGGAGATGGTCCTGACGGCGATCGACTTCGTTCGCATTCTGATATATCCCCGAAGCTATTATTGCAATATAACAGTGTCGGTGCTAATTTGCCCCCTAAATATAAATTATTGCAAATTTTGAATAATCAGATAAGGGAATAAAAAACTGAGATAATGTTCAGAAAATCTTGTCAAACAAAACGAAAACTAAGCAAAAACAATTTTGAGTATCGAGCAAGTTTTTTAAATGGCAAATTTAATTTTTTGAATGATTATTGATGATCTATATGATGCAACATGAAGAATTACATTTAATGCTGTAAGAAAGAGGGAGCAGATGAATAAATAAAAAAATAAAAATAATTCAAAATTTCCAAGCTACACTTTCTCCACTGTAAAGTTTGCAAAAGCAAACAACAAAAAATGAATTCATGCTTGCAGAAATAAGAATGCAACATGCAAACATTCTGTTCCTTTACCTTGGATAGGTACTAACCGCAGTTCCTGTTTAAGCATGGAGATTAAACTCTTAATTTATATGGCTCTTTGCCACAGATACTATTACTATGTTTATAAAAGGAATATATGTGATCGCAACGCAACCACGATCATCTTCCAATGTAATATTTCTTTTTAAAAAAATTTTCCATTTGATCAGTAGTTTCATCACTAATTTACAAAAGAACTAAATAAAATTGGAATATTCAAATTTTCATGAAATTTAAATCTCTGTTATATCCATATTTATTATTAATAAAAATTTTGAGAGATGTTACTCTGATGTTTTCTTAATCAGCACTATCAAAATAGCGCAAATTTGAAGATTTTATTTGAACAAAACTTTCTTCATTTTTCATTAAATTTCGTTTGAGATCAAGCTTTTGCTGTCAAATAAGTGATACTTCTGACTTTGGGCAAAAGTAATGTAAGCATTTGATTGTGATAAATATCATATTAATATTTTAAATTTTTTACTTGAAATTATTTGAATATAATAAATTTTGGAATTTTACTTGAAATTATTTGAATATAATAAATTTTGAAAGAACTTTCTGAAATTTCTTTTGGACTTACTTGGATATACACCACTTGTAATGGAAGGTGGTGAGTCAGCACAATCCAGTGATAGCGATTTCATTTGTTTGTGTAGCTTGGGCGGACGGCGCTTTCCTCCATGCATACCTATAAATAAATTTAGTCGCCAACTGCAACTAAATTTTCGAAAAATTTTGGAGAATCATATTTTTAAGGCTGATTTAGGATAATTTGTTGTCGACATGCTGCATATTTCGGAATAATATGTTAATGTTGCGTGAAGAAATCGATATATTCGCGATCTCTTTCTATTCAAAGGAATCTTTCTTTCAGAAATAACAGTTTTGAAAATTAATTTAATTAATCCTAAAAATAATAATGATTTTGAAAGGAATAACTGTATTTCGCTGGTTGCATTGGTTAATTTTTATCGCGAAATTTGATTCTATTTGAATGAAATTTAGCTAAACGGAGAATTTGTGACTTTCGAGAATTTTTATCCTCAAAATTCAAAAATTTTTCCTATCAGCAAATGAAGAGGGGAAAATGTTTGCTGAGAAAAATGAAATGGAATTATAATAAAATCAAGCAAATCATTATTGGATGACAATTTATTATATTCTGCTGCAAATAAAATAGAGTTAGTGTGGAATAAATGGAAGTAAAGATAGTAATAAAATAACGAATTTGAAGGATTAATTGTCATTCTTGGTTGTTTCCAAAACTTTCTCATGATTTTTTTTGAATTATTCCGGCATTCTTTCGTCTACCTTTTTTCCTTTCAAATGAATTTTTTTGCCTTACAATATTTAAATTTTCATTTTAATACTTTCAATGCCTTTCTGGTAGTCAAGCAAAGCTAATATTAATTTGAGTATTAGCTGAAAAATAAAAAACTTTAGTAAGGGCTACAATTCATAGATTATCTTTTACCTGTTTCACTAATAACTTGTATTCTATTCATCTCTTTATTCAGTCCTCCTTCCTCTGCTCTCAATGTAATTTGTTTCTCCTTGCGTTATTTTAAGATAATTTCATCTTCTCAAAACTTTTTCATTAGTTAGCTTAACATACATTTCGGAAAATAGTTTTTGCTATTTATTATCTTTTTTGAAAGTTGTAACAAAAGTTTGTGCAAAGGAACATAAATTTGAAATTTACATTGAGAAATCAAAAACATTCATTTTGAATCGAATTTTTTTCAATTCAATTTAGAACACCAAAAACAACTTCAAAAAAAATTAAAGGTAACACTCGAAAACTATTCAGCAATATCTCAGCAATATAAATTAGTTTTTCCAATTCAGCAATATAAATTAGTTTTTCTTAATAAGGAATGTACAATGTTAAAACTTTAAATAAAGTCAAAGTACCTGATTGATCCAGTTGAGGTGTTGAACTAATCATAACACCACGATTACAACTTGCTTCGGCATATCCGGAATCTTGTAAGGAAGCTTCTGACAAATTGCGAGGTGATGGTGTAGCTGAATCAAAATTGTGCGTTGATGAGCCTCGTCGGCCATAGATACCAGTGGCTTGCTTCAATGCCAAGTAAACCGGATCTACTGCATCTGTTTCAAATTTATATAATTGCAAGCATAATCAGATTAAATAAATGGCCCAAATAAATTTATAGAGGGAATTGCTATCCCTTTTCTTATTATGCTATAGATCTTTTAAAATATATTAACCTCTCTTAATTATTAATTATTCATAAAAATTTTGGTTTCTTTCAAAGAAATTATCTAATAGAACTTTGAATAAAACCGCTTCGAATCATTAATCGGATAATTAGAAGGTTAAATTTTGTATTCAAGAGATGATTTTAGAATTACGAAAACTGATAGATCAAAGCAACCCTTTTCAGATTAAGATATTTCAAAATCAGTTCAAGCTTCAATTGCTTTCATTCATTAAATGGATGAATATCTGGCGAAATGATAATAAATTAAACAGATATTTCTCATTTAGTTTAGATCATTTAAGAAGAGAAAAAGTGCAATTTCTTTAAATTTTTTCCTGAAAAAATTATATAAAGCAATTCAGGTAATATTAACTCCTCCTATTTCAGTTTTGTTCAAAACATTATTTCATGCAAATATTGTTCAATTTTCGAATTGATATCGTACCTTTCTTTGATTAGCATAAATTTCGATGAAAATTAGTGTTAAAGATCGGATCTTTGAGAAATTGAATAGGAAGCTTTGGGCGTTTTGCTGTACAAATGGGTTTAAGAAGAAACATCAAAAAGCTTCAAACCATACGGAATTTTGACTGGATTTCTAGAATTTTATGAGTATGTCCGGTCCATTTATATTTCAATTCATAGTTATCTGTTCATAAATGGTAATCAAAAAAGCTTCCTTTTCAGAATTTCTTGTAATGCATAACGGATTCAAAAATAATAAATTTTATGATAAATTTATAAAATATTATCAAGCAATGATGTAATCTCACTAACATGTTTTACGTCTCTCAATGAAACCAAACCACCTTGAGATCCATTTCTTTCTTAAAAAATTTTTTAAACCCGTTCATGCAATTTCCAGTCTTTACTAATTACAAATTAGCTCCACTGGGAGCTCGAAAAAAAAATACTTTCGCACTTTTCTGTAAATTAAAGGGAGTGAGAAAAGGAAAAACAAGAGTTTGGAGGATAGAGCATTGTGGACTTTCATAATTTTCGTTTGAATTTAAGATAAGCATATCAGTGAAGATGCCTTTGACAAAGTATTATTTTTAATATATCATAAAATAAATCAATCTGTTTGCAAAATATTTTTAAGAATTAATCAAAAACCATTACGTCTTTGATAACTGATTTCAATTATTTGTTTAACAATCTGTCCTTCGATATTCCAATTATTTTTACGATCTAAATCTTGAAATTGCCGTAAATTTTTGCAACTAATTGAGTACATTTCAAAAATTATCAGTTGCAATTTATAAATCGCGCTTCTTATTCTAATTAATAACAAATGCTAAATATAAGTAAATGGCATAAATAATTTTTTGTAAGATTACAACAGCAATTCATAGTTCCTTTTGGTTTGGTTAGCTCTACGAATTCATTTTCAGTAATTAAAAAAATTGGAAGTAATTAGTTTATACTTTAGTATTAGCACTAAGTAAACAAAAAAAAACTGATGTGAATGTTCCTGAAATCAATTTGCCTGATACTTTTCACTCTGAAAACGTGTTCGTTTGTAAGCATTGTTGAAATGAGATTCTCAAGTTGAAAAAATGCTGAATGTTAAATTTGTAATATATTTTGAAACATAGTGCATCAGTAAATCAACTTTTTAGTTTAATTTATAATGTGAATCTATAACTTATCTGTCTTTAAAGAATCTGCATCGCTAAGTAAATATATAATAAGCTTTTTAACGAACATTTTTGCTTTTGTGTAGCTGTAGTGTATTTGCTTTTGACAGTTTTAAGCGTTAGCTTTTACTTGCAAAAAAAAAAACGCTTATCCAGTGCTAACAGAATGTTTGACAAATATAAGTGTATCCCTTCTTTCAATTGACTTTTAAAAAGTACAAAAATCATTAATTCAAGTAAGGAAGGAAGAGATCACAATTATCAGAGGGTTCTTATTTATAGAAATTTTTGAATATGGTCAGAAAACAATTTAATGAGTTTTGGAGATGATGATGCACTCTCATTTCTCGAAATTAACTGAATGTGGATTTTACTTTGTATTGTCAGTAATTTTCATTTCAAATTCTAGCTTCGAACTGGACCGAAAAATTGGCGCACTAATGTTACTTAACTTGATGCTTCTTATTATCTGCCTCGAATGCTTTTTGATTTAAAGTATGGAATGATTTGAGCGCAAGTAAATTATATGAAGAATAATAAATGATCTGAAGGATCTGGTTTTGTATATCTTGGAAATCCTCGTCGAAAATTCGAAAAAGTATTCATAAGGCTGTTTTTCGATATGTTCAGTTGATGTTATGGTTAACAATGTATTAATGGCAAACAAGCAATAAATATTATTGCCGGAAACCAGAAATAAACTTATAATATGAAATCATTTACATAATCGGAATGCCTTTATAGATAAGTATAATATGAATTCTTAACCACAAATTTTTAGTCAATGTTTGTTATAACTTCTTTGTCAAATGATAAGATATACCTTGTTCATTATTCTAAGAATATCGTCAATTCCTTTATTTACCATTAAAGTCTTCTAGTAGGTCATCAATTGTTTACTTTACCTTATTCAGTGCTTACTGAGCACCGCTCAAATCAATATCATTTTAATTACTATTAAAAGGTTCATTATTATCATCAACATTCCTTTGGACCAATATTTCAACGAACAATCCCAAATTTACCTCCAGTATCACCCACAAAGAAGAATAACCAAATGATAAACTTAACTGTATTTTCTGATAATTGCATTATAACGTCAAAAGGAGTAACTTTCTCCATCAACTAATAAAATCACCATCAATCAATTCGACTGTGCCAGATAAAAGCTTTCACAGACAAAAAACAAAGTCACAATAATTATTAGAAGTAAAGTAAGCTTTCTTTTCGAGGATATGGAATAAGCAAAAATTTAGACTAAGCACTAAATATGCAACTTGTTTTATTTTGTTTCTGTTGCACTGAATAATTTCAAATATTGAAATCTGACGCTTGAACAGGAAATGAAATCAGACTGACATTGAAAATGAAATGAATAAAATAAGACAATATAAGAATTAAACAACAAATAATCAGAAAAAAAAATTGAATTTCCGTTTTTAATTTTTTGATAAGCTTTCAATTCATGTATTACTTCAACTATTTTAAAGTGGTGATAAATCGAACTTTCTATCTAAGTGAAAAGTTGTACCTTTCTAAAAAAAAGAACATCAGCTTAAGGATATTGGGTTCCCCTAATCTTTTTCTTTAATAGTTTCAGTAGCCAATTTAAAAAAATATTTTTTACACTTCAAAATTATCTTATATCAAATATCACTGTCATCAAATAACACACCATACATCCTCAAATTAAACTTTATGCATTGTATTTCTTCACATCACTTAAGGCTGTAACACTTAAAGGTCAACATATGGTTTGAAACTGTACGCTTTACATTCGTACCTTTCCTTTTGAGTGCTTTAAAACAAACAAATTACATGAAAAGTATGCCGAGTTAAATTGGAATTTTGCTAAGAATTATTTGCAATCAACTTTGAAAAACTAGAAAAGTTCTTAACAAGAGTGAAAGTTTTCATTTATAAGGAAAATGCAATATCTTTTTAAAAAACTTCTTCTAGTTAATAATGCTTCAAAAAAACCGAAAAGAATAGAAAAGCGAAGTTATTTGAAAATATAAAAATAACCTTTGCTTAATGCAAAGACTGAAAAGCTATTTTAAAATTTACTGAAATTCTTTACGATAAAACCTACAATAAATCTATTACTATGAAACGTCACAAAATATACAAAAAGCGTTTATGTTTTAATAAATAATTTACAAATAAAATTATTAATGTAGTGATATTTAGAGTAGTATTAAACCTTTTTACTCCTTTTTCTACGCATCAAATAACATCATTAAATTATTGGAGTGGATTCTGCTTCTGTGCTTTGTTAATTAATTTTTTTATGCAACTCAGAACTTACTTCTACTAACCTCCTAAAAGATTCATTTCATAGGTTAGTAGTAAAACGAATCGATTAGCATGTGTCACCCCATCCACTCATTGCACATTTCAGAATTATCACTTATCTGCAGACTGATAACGTTTTTCCGACCACAAATATATGTTAGACTTGTTCAAAATTTCCAAGAATATATTGCCTTATAATTTATTACTCTAAGCGCATGTTTTAAACAGCTGTTGTGCGGACACATAAAAGAGATACTTTTAATAAATCGATATTTGAATAAGAATAAAGTTCATTATAAGAGAAAAAAAAACAAAAAAAAACCTCTGGAAGGTGTCGATTCAGCGAAATGATCGTTGTGTTTCTGAAAATTAGACTTTAAATAGAATTTGTGGAAAGATGAAATGCCTCGCCATTCTAGATTTTCACTTCCAATAGCTGGCAGCAATAATCACTTACTAGATTGTATAAATTTCAATGGAATGAATGTGCTATGTACAGGCTAAACTAACAACTCATATCTTTAGATAGGACAAATGACTGAGCTCAACTCAGACATCACTGCGGAAATATCCCAACTAATGCTGCTGTTCGTTTTAGGCAATAAAACTAGCAAACAGAAAAGGTAAGAGAGGGTGGATTTATTAGCAATAAAGGAAGGGTTTTCTTTTCACTCTTTATAGGTATATATTCAAGAGAGCAGAAAGAACTTATTATTCGCTGAGTAATCACGGGAGACGGGAAAAAGAATTTACAGTACGATATATTATTTGACCTCTTCAATATTTATTGACTATTATTGGTCGTTCATTCCCCGCCAATACAACACTTTGAGATAAAAAGACAAACCTCAGATTTTGCGCCAAGAGGTGGATTCTTCAAACGATGCAATGACTGCATGACGCGAAATGCGGATGTCCATTTATGACGCAATCGTTTAGTTCGTATTGCTGGCGCTGTTGTACCTGAGCCTTCTCCAAACAATGTCGCATCCAAATCCATTTGTTTATTTCACTTTTAAAGTGCAATCCAGAACGCTTAGTGTAAATAGATGCTGTTATTTATCATTCATATAATGTCGTTACTCAACAACATGGTCTCCTAATTGCTGTCGATAGACGGACTTCGGCTCGGGTCATTTCTTATAGAGAATGATTTTCATCATCCTTACTATTCGATAACGTTGAAATTCGTCACGTTATTTATCATTTGTATATAATAACGCATATAATAAATAAAAAACACATGACGAGTTTCGAAAATCTTATTCCATAATCAAATTTAAGAGAGATATTGGAGTACAAACGGTAGTTTAATTCCACTATTACTATGTCATCAATCGATTTCATTTTGGACGAGAACACTATTTTCAAAGTTGGAGCAGTACCTAAGAGAAGTGAGAGAGATTTTCATTGAAAATAATGTGTTTCAAGCTAATACGAAAAATGTGGACAATGGTAATGCAAATGCTGAATTGGTCATTACATAAATTGACGGGAAGTTGCGGTGTTTTGAAAAAAAAATGTGTCGAGCGATGAAAAAATGGGAAAAAAATTTTTTTCAAGTGATATTCGAAAATGTATCTTTCCACAGATAGTAGTAAGCAATATATCAAAAGAAGACAGAAATTGTTATACTTAGGTTTAAAATTTTAGTTCAGAAAAAAGTCTCATACTGAATAAATGTTTTTCATCATGTGAATTGATTGTATCGAATGCCATGAAATGATAAAAAATAATTCAAATTTGCTGTGCATGCAGTCTTAAGTTCAAATGCGGAATTTGAGTCTTTAAGAAAATTTATTTACAATGTAATTGGTCAGAAGGTAATAAGAATGAAAAAAAAAAGGTAATTTATTCTGCTGTTATGTCTAATAGATCTCTTTGCTATGTTAATCAAAATTTCTATATGAGTTATACACATTCCCAATCTATCATTCCTCTTTGACGAAATGCTTCCATTAATTGTTATGCCATAATGATTTATGCAACTTAATGAAACAATCATTGAAATGAGAACTTTGATGAATTTTTAGAAGCTCTAGCAAAAAGCTGTCCTTTTAAGCAGTTGTACAATTGAACAGTAATGAAATTACCGAGTTATAACAGGAGGAGGAGGAAATTAGAACTGCAAGATTTGTCTAAGATTTAGCATAAATGCTCAGTCATACTCTCCAATTTAAGTTTTACTTGCAACAGAATATCCTTCGCTGAAAACAAGAAGAATGAGACTTACTTCCTTCTTTCAGTCATTCGATTAATCATTAAATCTTTCTTTTATTAATGTAAGACATTAATATAATCAAATAAGAAAAACTGTAATATGTCGCCTTTTTACATTTATATGGCTAATAAAAAAAGAAAAAAAAACCTTAAAACAAAAAAATGAAATTAAACGATAAGCAAAATGAGTGAATGTAACGAGAAGTGAATAAAATATTTTAGGAATTATATGTATGATATGTATAATTATATGTATGATATGAAATATAAGTTTGTATGGCTCTTATTATTAAACCAAATTATATGAAATGAGAGATAATTAGAGAGATTAATCATTCAGAAACGATTGATTACACATTTAATCAATTCAAAAACAAGTTTTAAGTCTTTATAAAATTGTTCATTGAATGAGATTAAATTCGAAGAAAATAAAGATATTACGAAAAAAAAGAAATATTTTAAATAATATTAATATTTTTGCAAAAATATGAAGAAGCTTTGGTATAGGATACGACGCATTAATGAATGAATATTCACCCTCCAGAATATTTCATTCGGAGAGCATTTTAATTAGGCATATCTATTTTATATAATTAATTTAGAAATGACTGAATTGACTTCTCCAAAAATCTGCTAAAAACATCACTGAGCTGGGCACCAAAACGAAAAATCATAGAAGACGTTCATTAAGCTTAATAGTTATTTCTAACTTCATTTTTCGTCTTTATCAAATGGTTAAAAATAATGCACAGATTACAAATTACACATATGCAAGCTTCCTGGTGTTGAAGAGTTAGTGAAGCGTGAAGTGGAAATTAGCTGATGCGCGTATCTTGCTGATTTGTCCTATCCGTTTCTATAGGAACAAAAAATAAAAACTACCATTGGAGGTACATCGAAGCACACCGGAATGTGAAATGAATCATTGTTATTCAATTGATGCTATTTTTCATTTAAATGTGATCAACACTGATCCATAAAATCCCAATGCTAATACAGTTTTCGAAGTTTTTTTCAAAAGAAGGCTTCAGAGGACCTATTCTGATTAATAAGTTAGTCTCATTTTCCTAAAAAAAGTCCCAATTGTAGTGCACAGAGATTCTTTGCAAGAAATCCTAGCAGTTCATTAAACGATCCAATATGTGGATATTACGTACAATTAACTCCAAAAGCAAAACATGCAAACACTGATGACAGTTTTACTAAGTTTTATACGTTATGAGCAAGTACCTTCTTATAAAATAATCAAGCCGCTTTAATTCTCTTTACCACTAATTTTTTTCTGTACGTTCACTTACATTTCAAATTCATATCTATACATTTAAAAAGATTTACTTCTGAATTTCTTCGGGCTTCACTGATTTGAGAACTGATAAGATTAGTTAATATGGTTATAGAAAATATCTCTCAGCGAGACATGTGTTTCATTCGAAAAAAAAGCATGAAAGAAAAAATTGTCAGGTTATAGTACATTAAATTATCGAGTACCTATCAGTATATCTTTCATATCAAAGTTTGATACCATAACTTGTTGAAATGTAAGTCGACATCAACAAGACGTTATTGTTTCAGTATCCACTGTATCTGTATTTATCCTCACCATGTTATGGCCATAAATTGAAGCCGGTATCACTGATACATGGACGGAGTTCTCCAATATTCTGTGCCGGCTAATAATGCATAACTTATAGTAACATTTGACATTTATATCCCTATGTCGTAAAAGCTAATTCTGGTTTTCAAGCCCTTTCCTGGATCGATCTCCATCGGAAATTCGGTTTCTTACTGTCAAATGATTGCCAAAAATCTCATCTAGATTATATGCTTTTATTGGATTTGCCTAAACTTTTTGATAAATATCCTATAATTACAAATTACTAGTATGAAATGAGCACAATACTTCTCCACGGACCATTGTAAAGTGTTTGACGTATCTCAATAATGTATTTAAAACTAAAGCTTGATGTAATCTGAAAAGATGGCAAAGGAAAAGATAAGAGTTGCAAAAAATGAGTACGAGTCAATTTTTGCATAAATATCTAGTCATTTTTAACATTCTAAACTTATTTTATTGCGATATTTCTTCCAAAAAAAATTACATACATTAAAAAATTCAGTTAACCGTGGAGCAATTTGCAGGTAATCAAATATATTTTATGACTTTTTCATAAAAAACGAGAAAAAAATTTTGCAGGAGTTTCTGTTTATTTCACCCAAATGATATCATTTGAAAAAAGCGTAAGTATTTAATTTATAAACAAAGTTGAAATTTTAAAAGTAAAAGTAGGATAAAGGACAAACTGTTACATAAAGAATGTACCCAAAATCTCATATTTCAAAATTTTTAATTATTCGATTGCAAAATGCGTTGATACGTTATATAATTGAACAGAAATAAATAACGGATGATTGTACCTAATTGGTCATACCTGCCATACCTAATTGGAGTGAAGAATTGTTTTTAATATTTTGAAATATATAATATAGTCTTAAAAAATGACAACACCACTTCCAGATTCGTTTCATTCTAAACAAAAAGCATAAGGAAACCTTGCTAGAAATACTTTCCGGAAAATAAATCAGCAGTGGAATAAATGACTATATCTCATTTTTTTTTCTTCTATTTTCAATAACTACAATGTCACTATCAATATGATATAAGTAAATTTTAAAGGAAGAGACGAAAATGAATGAAGTCATGGAACAGTCTGAAATGATACAGTAGAAAGTCATAGAAAAATGAGCTAAAATTAAAAAGTTGAAAATCAAGATAAGCAGTTGCAGCTGAAAACTTCATTATTTACAGTTTCTTCCAAAATTTGCTTAAAATAAAAAAAGCTGTAAAATTAATTATGAACAACTAAATTCCCAATCTAAAATATCACGATATCCCCTTGGTTCTTTATTTTGAAGAGATTATAGCCATGTGCATCGTAGAGAACAGTGTATTACATCAAATAATAATTTGCTAAGTATTATTTACTATTACATTGGGCAGCAATTAGGCTAAACTAATTACTAAAGTATAGGTTTAAAAAAATCTTGAGTAATGGCAGTATCCACGTCTGACTAATAAGTTGTTTAAAAAACAGAAATGAAACTCGATTCTCTATAACATACAAATCACTGCAATATATTAATTGGGATGCGGTTATGTATTAACTCCCGCTCATATTTATCTACAACTTTATATGTTTATTTCAAAAGATAACTTCCAGAAAATTCTGTGATATTTTCAAAGAATAACTTCCAGAGAATCGTATCTGTGATATGAGACCAACAGTAATTGCTTGATTGCATCGAAACATCTGTATAAATTGAATGGAAATGACAAATATAATTTCCTGGAAATCAAAGTTAAAAAGAAGTGGTTAAACGATCCACCTTATGTAATAAAATCAATGATATCCTTCATTCAGTTTCTGCTGAAAACAGTATGAAATTTGCTGAATTGTGTTGCAAAAAGCTTGAATTCACTAAATTCCGGAAAAATTCATCGAAATGTAAGAGGTTAGTTACTCTTTAAAAGATAAATTGATTCATTAAAAGAAATTACCACGGTGTTTGAGAAGACAAATATAGATTTTGAGATTCAACATGCTGTCATTACAATGAAGCTATTGTAGCTATTCAGTGAAAATGGGTGATTATTCAAACAATATGTATATGGTAGAAAAATAATTGAGAAGTAACTAAATTTTGTTGGGAGAATAAATAAAAATCTTCACATGCCTGCTTTTTATCAGATTTCTCATATTCCGGTATTAAAAACTTGGAAAG